CAAAGGAGGTAACTCCTCAAATCTGATGAAACGCCTGGCGACGTATAGCATTTTGGTAAAACATCTACTGCGGGTGTGGTGCCTGTTATCGGACCCAGAGTTAGCAACATTCCCGAAGAACCTGAAGAGGAGAGTCCTGGCCCCTAGCCCTGCCAGTGTAGCAGAAATGATGACGGATGATGATGCAGCAGCAGCCGTTCTTCTCTGCGTGAGTAGCTTAATGTTGTTCGTGTGTAATTTACTTACGCTAACCACGTTATTAAATTAATGCATGTAAGCTGAACTAGCAAACACCGTTGTAGTTACATGCGGCTGTCTTCTTGTTTCATGGCAGATACTAACTTCACCCTGGCCAAAAAGGCTAAAATGACCAAAGAAAAAGTGGAAAACAGTTAAACATGAGAGGATTTTGGACAAAGTTTGTGTTTTTTCCATTGATTGATTGATTGATTGATTTTTCCATTGATTAAGCACTGCTTCCAACCAAGAGTGATACCATATATCCATAAATATATACAAACATATAGCCATAAATCCCCCCATAGCTGCAGAAAAGGCTAACATTGTTATCTTTTGACAAAAAAACAGCTGAACATGAGAGGTTTTTGGACCAATTTTGTGTTCTCCATTCTTTAAGCACCGTTTAAGCACCGTTTAAGCACCGGCACCGTTTCAAAAGTACCGGTTTGGTACTGGTATCGGATAAAACCTAAACGATACCCATCCCTATGCAGAAGTGACCTTTCTGGGTTTGAAACCAGAACCCTCTTACTGTAAGGCAACAGTGCTAACCACTGAGCCACCATGCTACTGTATCACATGATACCACAGATCCCAAACTAAAACAAACTATCCACTTTCATGTGGTCAAAATATAGAGAAAATCCTCCTGCCCATTAAGTGGAGGGCGGGGGTGTTTACTACCTGTGGTGAGGCAGAGGTGGAAGACGAGGCCTGGCCTGATGAGTGGGAGCTGCCGCTTGCTTGCAGAGCAGCAGCAGCGTAGCTTATCTTCTCACTCTGAGGAGACGCTACAGAGGGAGAGGTGCAGAGAGCAGGTTAAGAAAGAAAGCAACCTGATCATAAAGAATGTCTTTGAAATCACTTCTTTTAAAACTAATTAGTGCTCTGTTGAGTTTTTATTATTTAACAAAATTACAGTTTTATTATTACAGTGAATATAAAGAATTTAACTGGCCTCGAGCAGCTGGTAAACTCAAATAATTGGATTTACCTTTGAGTGAAGTGCTGGACTTTGTTGCGTTCTCCCGACTGAAGAAGAGACTGCCAGGTTGAAGGCTGGGCCCGGATGCAGGAGACTCATCCTTCACCCTGAACTGTCCCAGCTTTGTCAGTTTCTGACAGGACAGAAGAAGGAAGACTTCAGAGGCAATAAGGAAGATAGAGAGATGGAAGTGCATTTCCCCTAATACAGCAAATGGGCTGTAACATGACAAATGAGTCCATGAGTAAGAAAGTAGATTAATATCCAGGAAGTGCTGAAACAAATGCGTCAGGCGTTTATGCTGAATTCCCACTACAGCATAAACGAAAGTAAAAAAACATAAATCAAGTAAAAATTCCTGTTCAAGTAAAAGAGTACCTCACCAAGCACATTTTGAATTTTACTATAACAAAGTCGCACAGATTATTAACTTGGAGTGTGATTTAAAACATTTGAAAGGTGATGGCATTGAAGAGACACAGAATTCGTGAATGAACCTCAACACTTCAACAGTTGTCACCGTTCGTCATCATCAGTTGCTAAAAGAAAAACAGATGTGATGAGAAGGGCAGCGTGTCACAGTGGAGTTTCATACCACAGCTACATTTTGAAATATAGTATGACCAGACTAACATTTTAGTTAATATGATCCAAAAACGGGTCAGCGAGCCCATACACTTGGAAAGTGTGAGGTTGAGACAGAGAAAGCCGTTATTGTAGCCTTCTGTAGGCCTGGAAAAATTCCATTTCAAGGCACGTCAGAATTTTTTCCAATCCAAAAGTTGCGTTCATATTTTTTACTTTCTATTAGTGTAATAGAATATTAGGCTTTGTAAAGGCTAAAGTACAGTAGCTTGTCTGTGCATTGATGACCCCATCACGTCTTATCCTTCCTTGAACGACTTTTGATAGATACTGACCGCTGCAGAGTGGGAACACCCCAGAGGAGATGCAGGTTTGGAGATGTATCATCACAATCTGGACCGTGTCAAACATTTTGCTTGCCCATTTTTCCTCCTTCTAACACATCAACTTTGAGGGTAAAATGTTCACTTGCTCCCTAATACATCCCACCCACTAACAGTTGCCATGATGAAGAGATAATCGGTCTTATTCACGTCACCTATCAGAGGGCATACTGTTTTTCCTGATTGGTGTGCATGGTCTCAGTGGAGTACTTACTGGGGAGGAAGTTGGAGGAGGATCGTTTTTGTCAGGTGGCGAATGAAACTTAACAAAGGCAAGCCCATATGCAATATTCTATAAAGAGCAAAGACAGATTCACATTATATTTCCATCAAAGAGACACAATTCAAACTCAATTACAACTTCAAACGGTGCCTCAACAACAGGATACCTGAGACAAAGGATCTGGAAAGATCATCTCAGCGCTTATATTTTATTGCATAATATAAAGTTAGCGTAACTGGAAAACCACGCTGCACTGCTGCTCGCAATTACGTTGCTTTCATTTGACACTATGGAACAGGTCCTGTTGCACTGCTGTATTCAGACACTGTCATCATTCCATAAACGTCTTAATTATAGATATATTTGCTAATTACAAAGGGCTTGTCACTGTACACATCAAACACTCTTAGACACTTACCTTGCTGTATGGCTGGCTACACACAATTTTCACTCTGTCCCACTTCTCCTGAGCTGTGCTCTTTTGCAGCTGGTTGGGCCCAAAGAAACGCACACGGTTCATGTTGGTGCCACTGCGGCTCTCCGTGGGCGACATGAAGGAAGACGTAACCAGGAGAACCTAAAACAGTGAGATTAAAATCAGACTGGATGAAATGAAGTCATTACAGCATTCAGGAAGTGCGATTATTATTATTTGTAAGAATACCTCATAGTCTTGATCTCTGACAGCTGAAGAATTTCCCACCAACACCTCAATGAAAGCTGAACCTTCATTTCCAATATCAATGCTGTGCACCTGCTCTTCCTTTTCAAACTGAGGGAGAAAAGTAAAAGTTGCATGGTAATACTTCCCAAGGAAGCACAGGACACACTTCCAAAAGAGAAGAATCAACACACTATTAATTAATCAAATTAATCTAAAACCATGTGGTGCTGGCATTCAGCCGTCTGATCTCTGCACAATAAAGACAAATTCAGCTTTTTCTAGATAAATGGAAATATCACCAAATTTGTCTGTATGGTAAGAAAGACATGCTTAATAACAAATGAAATGTTAAAAGTACCTGGATGTATCAGTATATGATTTTATTTGGTGATGTAACAGATAAATACATTATTTAGAGCAACTCAAAGCATAACTTTAAATATGTTTGATCATCATTATCTAATAACAGTAGCAATAACTTTATTTAATAGCACCTTTCAAAACAAAATTACAAACTGCTTCAATTCAGTTTGATTTATACAGCACCAAATCACAACAACAGTCACCTCAAGGTGTTTTATATTGTAAGGTAGATCCTTCAATAATACATACAAAGAGAAACCCAACAATCATATGACCCCCTATGAGCAAGCGCTTTAGTGACAGTGGGAAGGAAAAACTCCCTTTTAAAAGGAAGAAACCTCCAGCAGCCATCTGCTGCCCCTCACAAGGCAAGATTGGGAAAAAAAGCTAATATAAGTGATTACTTGGAGAAAGTGATGAAACAATTATAACTGAAGGTGAGGGTACAGAAAGCATCTTTATAATATATGAGCACTTAAAAATATTTTTTAAAAGTAAAAGCAGAGATTTGAAAGATGATTGCGAGCTTGCCAACTGATCTTTTCAAGGAGACTATTCGTTGAAGAGTGGGCGCACTAGCAGAACAAGCTTGATCACCATTAGTTCTCAGTCGTGATTGTGAGATTGGCAGCAGAGACAGCGGACCTCAGGTTATGACCAGGGACGGTAACACACCGTCTGAAATTCACTTTATAATTATAATTTGCGTGTAAACTTCTTTTAGTGTAAAGAAAGCAAATACAAAAAGTTTGTTTGAATTCAATAGATTGTATGATTCTCCCAAAGTTACTTGTGTGTAATTTGGTGTTTATGTAATATATGTAAGTATCTGCCATCTAACTAATCTAATCAACGAGACCTCACATTTTATTGAATTTGTTTGGTGTCACTTGAACACACAAAAACAACAACAAAACAAACCTGGAGAATGACTGATATCTGCTTCTCCCCGGGTCTGGCTGCTTTCCACTTTCTGTACGTGTCAGAGCTCAGGAGGTTGTCTGCCTTGTGCGTCTGTTTTTGTAACACAACACACGTGAGTATGAAGCAGCCTCACAGCTCAGCTTTCTTCATACAAATCTCACAAAAGCAATACATCATGTTGAACTTACAGAGTCCTCGGTGGTGCACGACACGACGTGCTTGAGTTTGATTTCTGGCATATCGTTGTTGTTACTGATGATCGTCAGGCTAAAAGCTGATCGATTCACTGATCAGTCACATAAACCAAACGGGCGCGTGCCTCCCCACGAAGCGATCGCAAACGGCTAACAAGTCATAAGACACATCCAGTTTCTCTCCACTGGAAGTGATTTAATCCTGAAAGTTTAATTTCTTATTGGTCAGATAAACCGATGACTAACATGTTAGCATGCTAACAAACAATAGGCAACTCTCCCTAATGATTTTGGTGACTTTAGCACACCTAAAGGGCTGTTCCGCGTAATTTGTTCACAGCGTTATATGCATGGCATATATCCGTTACTCTGCTGTTACAGAAAATTCATACTACAGATTTTGATTATGAGTTAAATGTGCGTAAAGGTGCACATATTTTCCCACCAAAAGCCTGTAAACGCCAGGATATGACGTACCTTCCGACTAACGACTTTTCTATCCAATCAGAGGTTTATTTTCTTCTTCTATGATTGAATTGTTGTGTCACAGAGGTTTATATTGCCACCAGTCGGTCACCATGTGAAGAGGCATTCAAAGAGAGCACTTATTCTTGAAATCTTTTCCAACCCTGCGCAGTTTGTCTCTTTTGTGACAAAATATACACTTTTAAACGTCGTGAGCAAACACTTTAAGATCTCAGAGCAGGGAGAATGTACATTAGACTTGTGAATTCATAGTCTTTCAGCTGTCAGTGTTCGATAACACCATATCTGCAAAAATGCATTACACCAGCAACAAAAAGAGCCCAAAAATAGGTTGTGTTTTTAAATTGAGAGTACATCATAAATCAAACTGGAGATCAGCAATATACACATAATTACAGAAGTATAAAATTAGCTAAGAAAGCTCTAGAAGATGTAATATAGGATGATACTGATTCAGTATGCATACAAAAAAAGTGAAGTAAAAAAAGTTCATATTCAAACATGTAAATAAATTTGACTTTTCGAATAGATGAGCATGAAAGGAAGGATTCTCTGCATTATTCTTTTTTGTTGTTTACTGTTGAACTCTGTGTGTGTGTGTGTGTGTGTGTGTGTGTGTGTATACACTCAAGCTGATGAAGCTGATGAACACTAAGGGAAATTAGTTAAACAATAGCCATAAAGAAGTCATTAAAGTTCTAAGACAAGAAAAACAAAAACTTCCAGGTATGCTTAACACAACAGAGTCACTGCTGATGTAATGAATGTTATAAATTCATTACATCAGCTGGAGCAGCTCTTTGTCCTTCCAGAGAAACTTTTAAAGCTTCCTGAGGATCACTGTTGTGCTCCAGCTGCTTTTAGAAATGCAACTGAGTGGTCTGGTCAGACTACATCAGATTTGAGGGTCTGTTTTCTTTTTTTCCTCACGGGCTTCACAGATAAAATGATGAAAACTCTTTCATCAAACCTTTTCATCTCCCTTTGCTCTTTTTTTTTGAAGAGCAAAGCACATCTCTGTCACTCGATGGCAGAAATTGTTCAGTTTAGAAACCAGAAGAAAGATAGACCAACCACAGATCAGAGTGCAATGTTATCAAATGCAAATGACATATATACAAGTATTGATTTACAATGTATGCAATATCCTGAGAACAGTATTAATCCAATGTACAATGTGACTGTAATTTAGCTTTGTGATCAGAGAATTTCCAGGTAGATGCCCGTCTCTGCATCTTCCACAGCTGTACCCTGCACCTCTCTTACGCCTCTGACTTCCTGACCAGCTTCTTGGTTAATTCTTCCACTTGGTCCAGGTCTTCGTCTCTCCCCACCTCTCCTGCCCATTGGACGGATCTAAAAAAAAAAAGGGAGAGCAGCTGTTTTCACTGGAATAAGTTTAGAAACCAGAAGAAAGATAGACCAACCACAGATCAGAGTGCAATGTTATCAAATGCAAATGACATATATACAAGTATTGATTGCTATTTCCTCTGGAAAACCTGTGCACTGAAAGATCAAGGTTATCAAATACCTGCTTAGTGCGGACAAAAAGAGGCGTGCAGTTCTGGTACACAAGCTGGTAGCTGCCATTGGTGTAAACATGAGTTACTTCTGTGCAGTTTATATATAGAGGCATCCTGTCCTGATAAATTTCCAATCCTCCAGGATACATGGTGGGATGTCTTCTTAGAATGTGCCTGAGAGAAGGAGAACAGGTATTCGATAGACTTGATAATTAGGCGTGACACAATCCAAGCAAACTTTTAACAGGAAATGTTTCTGTACATACTTTCTAGCTCTCTTTTTGCAGCAGTAGACAAGAAGGGCCAGGAGGAATATGACCAGGACAGCAGTGACAGCAGGTAAAACCAACCACAGGAAAAATGCTATCTCTGTATGTGGACCACAAGAGCAGCAGTGGATCAGCATATAGTGTCTCATCACTGGATTATATCAACTTCAAACTTCAGTGCAAATAAGAAAAATCAGATTTTCCAATCATAGCTCAAGAAAATTATTTGGTTTTCTTTGCAGCTTCTTTTCTTCTACTTGTGTTTTTAAGCTGCAGGCATGCTGCACAGAAGTTTCAGCACAAGCAAGACATCAGAGTGAATAAACAAGAGGCAGGGCTGTTGTCTTTCTTAGTATGAAAAAGCAGTGCTTTGAACACACCTTCTTCTTCCTGCAGCAAGACCAGCGAGTCGTTTCCCAGAGCGTTGAAAGCAAAGCAAATCACCATCTGAGGTTTTTCCATTTGCCCTCTCAGAGTAGCCGTTAGCACACTGGGCTCTGATGTTACAGACTCGTTGTAATCTTGAGGTGGAACAGACCCATTAACACTCCAGGTGATTGCAGGTTTGGGGTTGGAGTCGACCGAACACTGGCACACCACCTCTGATTCCTCTACAGTACAGGTAGAGGAGAGCTGGATGATGGCCGGCTTATCTGGAAGAGATAATACTGTCATTAGGTTCTCAATAATATTTATGAGGATATATCTACACAAAACACATGGTCTAAGGATTGAAAGGCAATTTTATAATTTTTTGAATGGGTTGGATGAGAAATTTACAGAAAATGAGTTGCCTTCTAGCCTAGTTGGTGTATGTAAAAACAACAGTTCATTCACTATTTATTGGCTGTGATTAGTGTCTTTACAGGCCTTGCAGACTGTTTGGTCAGTGAAATCAAATAGATGCATGCAGACGCTCCGCATTTAACTCTGTGTAAGACAAACTCATTGGGATTTAATTGTCCTGTTTATCACCCAGTACACATAACAGTGTACTGGGTGATAAACAGGTTTTTTGCCCTTTATTTTCTAATCCATCCTGGTTAATTTATAATCATCTGTTTTTTTTGTTTCTCTCAATGGCTGCTCTGCAGTCTATCTACAGTTTGCTCTATCTTCACACAACAAAAGCTTATTGTCTTTCCCTTTATTTTTGTGTTTCAGTCATGGACCAACCTACTTACATGACTGAAACTTGCTTGCTTCTTCTCCTGGGAGAGTTCAAAGTTCAGATTTCAGTTTTTACTTGTCAGTTGGATTTGAATTATGCAGCTGTAGTTGTTTTATTTTCCTTTTATTATCCCCCTCATCTGTTTTTATCAAGCTCATTTTTATACTTGTTGAACCTTGTTAATTTGATGCCAAATAAATGCCTGGTTAAATCAAATCCTATGGTTTGGTTAGTTGGGTGCAACCTAACAACACGTATATATGGGATGCAGAGAGGACCAAGAAGCGGTAGAATTACATTGTATATTAAGAGTTGTGGGTCGCGATTCTCCTCGGCCAATCAGGTTCTGAGCTACGCACCGGACCCTCATATCTCGAGTCACGTTGTACAGCCGGACTGTGTGTGTTCGCTGGTTGAGGTGCACAGTGCGCCCATGTTGACTATAGGACCAGTGGTACTCTGTTGCTGGAGGGTCAGCTTTACATGAGCACATGAGCAGTGCATTGCCCCCCTCCTTCACTGTCAGCGTCTGGACTTGAATCTTCACATCTTTTGGAGGAACTAAGAGCATTAAAAGGGAAAAAGAAAGGTTTTAGCTTACTGAGCCAGGAACATAAATACACGTGTCAAATCTATACTTACACGTCACATGTAGGTCCTTCAAAGTGGATAGTTTGAGGTTTGAAGTTTTAGGGCCTGGGAAGATGACCTGACACCTGGGCTTCACCTGGTGTGTTACAGTAAAGGTCAAAGAGGCCAGTAAAATTTTCCTGTGGGGATCTGGGTAGAGTGTCTGTACTTCCCCAGGTTCAGTTATATTCTTCTGGGCTCCTCGCTCCCACCTCCACTGCAGATCAGGCAGTCTGGAGGGGCAGTGGTAGTTGACAGAGCAGTTCAGGGTGACCAGTTGTCCTTCTGTGGCTGACATGATGCCGCTGATGACAGGAGCTTCAGGGGTGTCTGCCAAGAAGGAAAATCTCCATCATTATGGTTTTAACACTTTAGTGTATTAAAAACATAAAAATCATACAAGCAAAAAGACGAATTCTCTTACAACAACCATTAGTGCTAGAACTACTGATCAAGTCTACTCATATGTGATAGAAACAAGACTGTTTAATTAATAATCCCATATTTCTTCTTTTGTGTTTTTCCTGTAGTTGATATTGATTCAAGTTTTTCCTTCCCAATCTCATGGAGTTCTTGCTAAGATGGCGCTGTGTGATTGTTAGGGGCTTTTACCTTACAATATAAAGTGCGTTGAGTGACTATAGTTGTGAATTGGCGCTCTATAAAGAAAATGTGAATTTTTATTTATAAATGTAAAGATAAAAAGAAATGCTTAATGCTCTTCCTGTAAATTTATTTTAGATTTACGAAAATATGTTTTCACGGGAAACATTTTAAAGTTTATTTAATAGTTAATCTGCTTAAGCCACATATGCACTTCATGCAGCTTATTATTTTTTTTTATATATAACTTTCCATGCGGGGGATTCTCTATTGTCTGATTATACTAATAATTCTTCTATGCAATACTTATCATGTGAAAAACAATCAAAGTGTTTTAAAAAGTAGAAAAGAGGACATGCATTGTTTTCCTCACTCACAAATACGGTCCAGATTGAAGCTCCTTGGCTTCCCCCAGAGTGAGTCGCCCACTGTCTTCAGAGAAATTTCAAACACCTGGGGGTCATCCTCCCTGATCCTTTCGATTTTCACTGAGCAGTCACCATTTGCGATTTCGCCAAAGAGGGATGCTCTGCCTTGGAAATCCCTGCTCACTTGGCCTTTGTCCTGGCTGTTAAAAGCGGTGCTCTGAAGAGGAAAAAAAGGGCCACCACCTCTGAACCTTAGCCGCACATCCACCCACTGCTTCCTTCCCCTAATAGGATGAGGGGCTGGAGGTGTAAAGGAGCAGGGAATAACCACACAGGTGCCCACCAGAGCCTGGACACGGTCAGGGACTGAGGGTACAGGAGAGACAGCCTGCACCCCCCTCCACAATGTTGCTGTTGTACAGAAAGCACAGAAAATCATTTATCCAGCATTATTCGACAGTAGATTGAACTTTACATAACTGAGACACAATAGTGATATTTCACAGTTTTATTATGACAACTAAAAAGCATAAGAGAATGTCTCAAGGACACACCTAATAATATATTTCATATATTTAAAAAAGAAGCTGTAAAAGCTATAACAGCATTAATTTCTTGAGACTGTAGAAAGGTCATCGTAAAAACTAAACTTTATATGACAAGAGGTTTGTGCTATCTGGAAATCTTACAAATACCGCACTGTTTTGCAACAGTTGTATATTTAGAAAGAGGAACAGAGCAGCTGGAGTTTTAACTGTGTTAATAGTTAAATCTACTATTCAGACTGCAAAACATGTCTATGTTTTTGTAATGAAAAATATTTATTTTAAGTTATAAAAATGTAGAGCATTTTATTACAAAAATACAATATGATTTGTTAATATTTAATTTTCATCAGCACAAAATATTTTGCAGAAAGCATTCAAGACAAAAAAAGTACTTAAATAAACCTCTTATATTGATCATTTAGGAGAAGCCAGTGGAGCACAGGGTTTCATTAAATTACACCACAAAGCAAACGTCCTCCAAATGCAGCCAAAAAGCAACTATGTTAATTTTTTGGAATTTCTTTTTTTTTTTTCAAGAAAGTTTAAAGTGAATTTAAAATGATCAATAATTTGTTTAATTACTTACCAAAAATCAGGGGACACACAAGGACAACGATGTCTGCCTGCATGTCTGCAGCCCTGCTCTGATGGCTCAGACAGGGAAGGATGAACAAAGGAGCAAAGAGGGGGGAAGCTTGATTGTTTCATTATGCAACTGGTACTATGACTTCCTGTGATGCCCCCCTCAAACGTCCATTATCAAATGAATGTTTATTATATTTGTTTATTTTGCCTCCACTCATCTTTGTCGCTCATAGTGTAATTATAAAACAAATAAATCATGGGGTTATAACTTTAGAATATATAGAGCTTATAAATGATCCAAAAATCATTAAAGTGCTGAAGTCCTTTTTGCGAAGGAAAGAAAGACCTCAGCAAGCAGCTATGAGACAGCACATGACAGTGAGTGAGTCACTCTCATGCTGTTGCCCAGTTCCTCAAAGGGACTAGCAACTCAAATCTGATACATTTCTCATTCCCCGTATCTATACGGACCAGCCAAACCACAATAGTGGAAAAAAAAGAGTGTGGAAAAAAGAGGGGTTTGAATATTAACTTTTTAGTGACATATTTGCTATGCTGTTGACAGCAAATGTCTGCATGTGTGTAAGTAGGTCATCACGGATGAAGGGAAAAAGTGTAATATTGAAACTTTATGAAGTTGAAGCATTTAAATAAGAATTGTCTGTGAAGGTTCTCAGTCATCCAGGTCATCGTAGTCTAAGGAACTTGGAAAGGAAAGCGTCTTAAAGAAGTCCAGACGCTTTTCTTTCCAAGCTGCTTAGATTAAATAAGAATTGTTTTCTCTATTATCGTACATTGAGACATATTTTGTAAACTGAATTTGGCATAAATAATTTTAGGGCACTTTATTTAACACCTTTTAAAATGATCTGACTGAATATATTAATATGAGCAATTTCATTTCCATGCAGTGTGTAGTGACAGAGGAGATATTCAACACAGACTACATGTGGAACAACTTTTATAACTTATTTTAAATTTGTTTCCACTTTGTTGCAGTTATTGCCATTATCACCTTGAGATAAATTTTTCTTCAGGCTCAAACAAAACCAAGTAATCAGAGTCAGGTACAAAGGCTTTAACTGCTTGAACTCTGGACCCTTTTAAAGCTTGTTTGAATTGCTGCTTGCACCTCCCTGCTCCTTAGAACAAACTGCAAACTGCCTTCGTGCCAAAACTCAAGACTGCAATGGCAACACCAGATGTGGCTTAAAACCACAGCTTAATGTAAAGATACTACAGTGCACGGATAAGGTATGTGTTGAGAATGGTACCGTTTGTACAGAAATCCTTATTGTTGTTCATGTGCATAAATGCAGTTTGGTATATGTGTGAGAACTGAAACATCAAAGTTTGGGTCTTCTCTTATACTACTGAATGCAGTAACTATTCATTTAAAGCTTTGATTATTTTTTTGCTTTGGGGGTCAGCACTATTGTAAGAAGTTATGAGCTCAGCTCAGCAGCTGCTCCGTTCTCAGAGAGACTTATTGCTGAAGTGGACATGTGACCATCCAGCGCCCTTGCTGCGTTGGCTGCGTGATGCCGAGGTGCTTTCGTCTGCCTGCTACCTGTCTTTGCTGGAGAGGTCGCCTTCCAATGCTGTGGCAAAGGCACTGGAGACAGTGTGTGTCACAGAGGAGAGCAGCCAAAAGTTCCTGCAGGTGTTGAGGGAAGTGCAGGATTACTACTGCAGAGATCTGCAGGTCTGGGTCGAGAGACACTGCAGGAACGATGCAGTCACTAAATCAGCACCTACATCTGTGAAAGTTGAAGGTGAGGCTGCTTTAATGTGCTGCTGTTGGTTTTTACATAAACAGGTGTAACTGAAGTTAATCTTCTTTGCAACCTTGAGCTGATTGTGAGGGGCTGTTAATAGAAGACAACTTTTACAACCTATTGAGGACAGACATGAAAGAAGATTAGATGCAGGGTACAATCAGCTTTGATGCCTTGCCAGGATTTTTATTTATTTTTTTACTTTGGTGAGAGTTTTAAGAGATAATGGACATTGAGCTCAACTATCATGAGTTAAAATGTGTCAGTGATTTGGATATCTGGATCAGGTATTCATAGTTCCCTGATGATGAGACTCAGGGATATGAAAATGCTCAGTCAGCAGAGTCACCTGTGAATCTGACGTTTTAAACAAATACATATAAAATAACTATAAATTATTCTATGATTTCAACAGAGAAGAAGTCCAAAAGCCCCATTGCTAAACTGTTTAAAGCGAAGAGCAAAGGATTCACCCTCACCACTCACGTTAATGGTATGAATTCATTGTTTCATCAAAAATCTTTTTTACATATGAATTATATAGTAGTGTACGTTATTTCTGGTATGTTTTCTTTATAGAGATAAGCAATAAATGTTGTCCTGTTTTTTAATTTATAATTCCTGGTTTCATTTTTTGCTGTATATGGAATATGTGTATGGATATGAATGTATGCCTTGATTTACCGCTATACTGTAAAAAAGGGTTATTTGGAACTGTTAATCACACAAACTTCTCTACTTGAGTCTATAAAAAATGTATATAGAGCTGGAAATGGACATAATCAGTCAATTTAAAATGTAAACTGACATTAGGCAAATGCAATTTTTCGTGATTTGATTCCTGTGCTTGCAATCAAGTAAGGAGATCTGACTTTCATATTGCAGCTAAGGAAGAGCCAAAATCTTGCAGAAGTCTAAAGTTGGCCAGCATCCGAGGTAGGATGAAAACAGGTCAACTGAATTCAAGAAGCCACAATCTTTATCTTATAAAACACTGCAGAATAATGTAATTTAGTTTTTAAAAAAATATCTTTATCTTCTATTCCAGTTTCAATTTCTGCCCATAAAACAACCTTACTGAAACGCACAGAGCAGTTAAAATGTTACTCAGAGGGAAACAGGGAGGCTTCAAACTCAGCTTCTCACATCGAGATCCGCTACACTGACCTTTTCGTGACGGAAGACAATGACTTAGTTGACAGTAGCCAACATGAGTACTTTGCCTTGGCGGGCAGACGTGCTCGCATCTATGTCCACCAGGCCTGCCAGCGTATCCGGCCCGGTCATCTGTTGAGCCCCCAAGAAGCATTGGGACGAGCCCCTAAAAGGGTGAAAGTGAAGGGTATTGCAGGTATAGGAAAGAGTGTGGCAGTACAGAGATTGGTCTACGAGTGGGCAATTGGGAAGAACATGCGTGAATTCACCTGCATTTTTGACCTACGCTTCAGAGAGCTCAATCTAGTTGATAAACCACTGAGTTTACTGGAGCTTCTTGAACAACGGTTCCGATACCTGAAGGAGGCTCTACCTGGCCTGCTCACCACACCAAGATCATTGCTTTTCATCTTAGATGGTTTAGATGAGTTTAAATTCCCTCTGGACTGGAACAGTCCAGACAAAAACATTGATGTAAAATCAAACGTTCTGGTGTCAGAGCTGATGGTGGCTTTGATAAAAGGAAGCCTTCTTCCAGAAGCATCAGTCATAGTTACAACAAGGCCATCTACAGAAGCTCCCAAGCGTTTCTTCCAGAGATGTTGTGTGGTGCTGGGCTTTGAGGAGGACCAGGTGAAGGAGTACACCACTAAGTTTTACAAAGACAGTGAAGTTGCTCAAAAGGTGTATGATTACATTGTGAACAATGACAACCTATTTGTGCTTTCCTTCATCCCTCTTTATTGCTACATCATCTGTACCGCTATGGCTGAGTTCTTCTCTTCACAGCCTAACAATGCAGGTGAATCGAAGTCTCTGGAGTTAAGCCCACCCAGAACAGTCAGCGAGGTTTATTTCTGCTATTTGTTTACAGCAGTCAAACATCATGGACTAAAAGGGAGGACAGAGAGAAGCACACCTAGATCAGAGGTTCTTAGTCTAGCTAAACAACAACTGATGAAACTGGGGAAACTGGCTTATGAAAACCTTCTACAAAAGAAGATATTGTTTGATAAAGCAGATTTGGAGAACTACGGTGTCACACCTGCTGATGTTCAGAGCACCTTTCTCTGTCATATCCTCCAGCCTATTAAAGAGGAGACAGTGGAGATGTTTTCTTTCTTCCACCTTACTGTTCAAGAACATCTGGCTGCCTTGTACTGCGCAATCAACCTCTCCAGCCAGGTCGACATAATACAAGCTCTTGACTTTTGGTGCTTCGGGGTACGTCCATCGTCCTCTACTGCTGCACCCCTTCAAAATTTACACCTTAGCATGGATAAGCTCGAAAGTCTCCAAATGTTCACACGTTTCTTCATGGGAATGCTGCGAGCACGGTTGTCAGGTCATTTAGAAGGTCTTGTGCATTCTCCCATCGAGCAAGAGGACAGCATCCCCAACAGGCTCGGTTTGTGGTTCCGAGATCAGTTTAAAACCAGGGAGCTGGAAAACCAGGTAGCCCTAAATCTTCTCCACTGTCTGATGGAGTTCCACATGAAGGAAGCCACTAGCTTTGCAGCACCAGAGATCACAAAACTCAACCTGTTTAAAATGAAGCTCAGTGTTGTGGACTGTGCAGCGATACACTACGTGCTGCAGTTTTCCCCACACAAGCTGCAAGAGCTCAACTTGGGCTACTCTAACATCGGAAACCGAGGACTCAACAGACTGAGACCAATTCTACATCGATGTGAATCTCTCTAGTGAGTAGCTCGTTTTATATTCACTTAAAAATATATACTGCAGTTAAAATAAAATAAAAATAAGTTGGGGTTTGAGCTTTCCAGCTGTTTGATGCCATTCTGTGGGGAGCTTGCATATTCCCCCCCGTGTCTGCATGCTTCTCTCTATGTGTGTTAGCTCTGTGATGGATGTGAACCCTGCCTTCTGTTTAATGCATGCTGGGATGGACCCAAACCCCCTTACATGTAAGACGGCCAAAAACAATGTTAACCAAAAGTTTCTTTCTTTCAGTTTGAGATACAACTGCCTGGACAAGCAAGCAGCTATTTTAGAATCTGCCATTCTGAAATCAAATGAGTGCCAAGTGAAGAAGCTCTTGTAAGTCATTTAAAATATTCAATACTCAGGTGAAAATTATTTTTTAGAACCTACAGTGTGTGACTGCCTTAAATGTTATGTTTTAGCCATTTACATGGAAAGTAGTCCAAAAACATATTTATCATAGAAATATTGCATAGCTGCGTTGTGAAATGCAGGAGGACTGGACGCAAATTCAGACTGGACAGTAAGTTAACAAAAAACAAGCCCTTATTAGAGGTGATAATATCCTAAACACAAACCTTACAGAAAAGAAGAGCGCTGGAGAAAAAACTGTGACCGCACCATGAACTATCAACACAGGGACAAAGTATGATGCGAAGGAAAACACGGGCATGGTTGGACACAGAAACAGGAGGGAAACTAAACATAGCTGAACATCACTGAGATAAACACAAGAGAGAGAATCTAATGAAGTAAAACAGGATTTTAAAAAAGACTCAAAACTCTGGAAGATATACGAATAAAACCAAAAACAAATCAGGAACTAAAACTTAGCTAGAAATAAATTAAAAACTAGGAACAATAATTAAGCCCATCCATCCAGCTAATAAAGACTACTAAATAAAGATGCGCAGACAAGAGACATATACAGGGATATTGGAGGAGGCTTGGGAAATAAATCAAAATACAAAGAATCTGACACAAATAAACTCCAGAGACTTTAACGAAATTAGATTTGAAAAGTGGAAAAAACTAAAGGTCAAGCATCCAAAACACTAAAGGTGTAACTCAAAGGCAAAACTCAGGGGCCAAGACAAACTAATTAAAGATTAGCTTTATTTCTCAAACTCTTTTGCACATACACCCTACATATACATGAAAATTGTAATGCAATTTAATATATTTAGTTATAGTGTGATTAATCAATTAATGTGTCCTGAACTCAGAAAACTAGCAGAGAATTAATGGAAGCAAGCAACCAATTAAAACTTAATTGATTTAATCCAAGTTTTTTGCTTAAACTGATGCTTTCCAATTATAGGATAATGACACTTCTGGTGAGTAGTGTGAGATTTGTAGAGATTGTGTTTTTGATTGCCACAAAAAATGCTTTTCCCCATGACTTTTCAAAACCTTGACATTTTTTGATATAAGCAGCACACACAGAATATGTTTCCTGCTTCTGTGTACAGTATGTGTGGCAACAACCTGGGTCCTGAGGGGGGGTTGGAGCTGTGGAATGCTTTGGAGAACAACAACACTGTGGAGGAACTTTATCTGGACATCACCGGCATCACAGAGAGAGGAACAGAAAACATTGTCAACTGTCTCAGCAAAAACACTTCTCTGAAGACACTGACGTAAGATTAAAAAATAAATCTGCATGTGTCCAATGCACTCCATGTTATAGCACTGCCATCTTTAATCTGGTTCCCTTTTTTTTTTTAATGTTAGATAATAACTGAGGGTTGTAAAAAGGCATGTCCAAAAATATGTTAACCAGTGATTTCTTCATTGTACAGCATTGTTGGAAATGACATTGGAGCAACTGGGAGGAGAAGACTGAAGGAACTGGAGAAACGTCGGCCGGAACTCAGGATCATTGCAAACTTTGTGGATGACCTTGGGTTACTTCAGGCATACCTGGATTGGGTGGAGGAGATCCGGACTGACAGAGACCAGATGGACTCCGTCAAGAATGCGGATGCCCTGCAGTCAGTGCTGAAGGGGCTCCAGGTGGCAGGGACAATGGAAAAGGGGGCGAATGCAGAGAAAGCCAAGGAGCTTCAAACAAAGATTGAGGAGCTACTGAACTATTCTACAGAAGTGATTAGAGGAAAATGATCACACAGAAATGAACCATCTCAACCATTAAATCTTATGGTCTGACTTCAAGTTGTGAAAGTAGATCCTAAAAACCCAGACAGGTGTGTTAATAACTTAAAACCACCTGTAATACTGCTTAATCTGGAGAATTAACAATTTCAACCTGATAACATGCTTTAGATGTTTAAATTGTCATTGAACCTGAGAGAATTTTTAATAGATTAGTATGTTCTTTATGATTAACCTTTTATGACTGACAACACTGTACCTGCACATATTTTGAATGGTCAATTGGACTCTAAATACAACTAATACTATTATTAGTTAATATTACAAGATTCACATAATTACAATGAGTTTTAAGTGTTTTTAAGTGTCAATGTGATAATTTAGAAGTCGGTTCTTTTCCAAACTCAGTTGGAATTAATAAATTAACACGCTGCCCTCTAGTGTCCACATGTTTTACACCAAAGAGAGAAGAAATTCTTCAACATCACAGAAACTCTGAGCTGAAAGTAAAATTCAGCTCGAATGACAAATTTATTTAATGTTTCTGTAAATCTTTTTTTTTACGTATTAAAGAAAAAGAAATTGTATTCATTTAAAAAAAATAACAAGAAAATGGAAAGAAAGCAGAAAGAAAATGTTTCTATTATTGTTTACAAGGTAGCCCATCCATTCACTTACTTTGTTCTTAAAATACAAATAAAAAACTTCCAATTTGTCCATAATTTGTTGTCAAAGACATATTTTTTTTATTTATGTCTCTACACCACGACAGTGACAAAATATGAATCAGTATACATTTTGTGAGTCTCATGAATAAAGCGCTCTGTTGGTTGTTGACATTGACAGCAGTGGATCTGAAAGGCAGAAAGCAGAACTACAATGACATTTAAAGAAAAGACACCAGGGACCGAAAAAATCTGACTATTCATGTCAACACACAATATTACTATTAGCTAATTGTCATAACAGTCAAAGTTAATTCAGCAATGAATTTTAATTGTGACTAGTTTTTAGCTTATATATATGGAAGTCAGTAAACAAGTCATAATCATATCCATGACACTGCTGAACAATTAGAAGTCTCCAGCTCAGAGATCGCATATGAACACACTACCACCTAGTGTTAGGATAAGGGGTTGTTTGTTGTTTCCAGTTCTTAGTTTCTAGTTTCTGAGTTTTCTATTTAGTTTGTGTTTCTAAGTATACAGCAATAAAGCTGCCTCTTTTCATTCATCCTGTACTTTATTTGGGTCCTCATCCTGCCTGCCACACAGCTACACTTGACATAGCAGTAACATGCACCAAATAATGACAAGATAAGATATGATAAGATAAGATAAGGCTTTATTGATCCCACAGTGCGGAAATTTGTGCGTTATCTCAGCTCAGGTACAGATAGCAGAAGAAAAATACAAAAATACAAATAAAATACAAACAAATACAAAATAAGTAATAATAAACTATATACAATGGTAGCATACACAGTATGTGATTATGGATAGAGGGTTGTGGACATATGCAAGACATAAATTTAACTATTTTACCACTACTATTACTATGTAAGTAATAGATATTCCTAGGTATCTATAAGTATAGACATGTACATGATGTATTTTATTTGACTTTCTTTTAGTGTTTAGTGTAATGCAGAGGAACATTATAGCTACTGTTGACATAGCAAACACAGAAAGTTTTGGACAGAGAAGGGTTTGATTGTCATGGTTTGGTGCTGATTTGGGGTTCTTCTGTGGCCTTTTATTTATTTATTTTTTTGCCCTATCTATGGCCGTTGCTCTGGACTCTGCCTATTGGTGTAGCTTCCAAGTTCACGCTTTGCATTTGTCACACTTCCCTTCTATCTGATAAGTAGTAACTGGGTTTTCAAGGACCAGCTTGAGCCACCGCTGTCTGCCACATTCCTTGAGAAGAAAACTGTGGAAACTTGCGTGTAATACATACCTGTCTGTCCACCTTCCACCGCCTTGAGGAACTCTTGTCAGTCTAATCCTACATTGTTGCTTTTCTCTGGAAAGTATCAAGTAACTACTAAAAAAGATTAAGTTATTTAAACTAACCTCTGCTCCAGCTTACCACTTTCACCTCTTCTGACAGAACAACCACTTGAACTGAATCTTGTAAACCCCAGTGTTTCCTTGGGCTCAAGTCTTTGCTGCTTTGAGATTTTTTTTTTTTTTTAACAAATTTTTTAATAAAACTTGTTGAGTAGCACTCTGTTGGTTGTTGGGCTTTTGTTGTCATCAAAAGTTAATTTGTGACTTTGGATTTTAGTTGTGGATGACTATATTTGTATTTCAGTGAACATTGACAATATAATAACTATATGGAAGCCGGAAAAAAAGCCACAAACATGGCCATGACATTGTAGAACAATGAAAACGCTCCTGCTCAAAGACAGGACAAACTAACCCCCAAAAACACTCCCACCTAGTGTCAACTTGTGTAACTGCCAAAGATGAAAAACATTAAATTCAATTTCTGTAGGCGTTGATAGAAATGTTAATTTATCTGTGCACATGACAGGTGAACACACCTGTCACAGGATGAAGCACGGATTTTTGTATTTTCATATTTTTGTATTATACCTCCATGCAGCTGTTTTTGTTACATTTATATTGTACATATTATTTATTAATGAAATTTACACAACATCAGTCTTACTGTTACTGTTTTTAACTTTCAGTTTCTTGTTTAGAAAATAGAAACATTAATCTACTTTATTCCTTCAGCCAATTAATACAATAAAGCCAAATAGTGAACATTATTACTAAGTGAATAGAAATGTTTACAGCACATTCAGTGGTGCAAGACGTGTTGTGGAGATCGTGGTCAGAAAAGAAGGTGGTATTGTTAACAGCCACTTCTGGTAAAAGCATCTATCTAATATTCACACTCATACTTTTGTGTTATTTCCTCTTTTTACATCACTTCCTGAACAGTTCTTAAAAAACCTCACATATGTGGAAATGACTTCTCTATGAAGCTCGTAAGAATGTAAGTTTTTATATCTTAAATATGGAATAAATATCAAAGTTTTATGCAAAAATAACATTTCTATCATTCTTTGATTCACTGCGATTTAGATTAAACATCATATTTGTCGAGGAAAAAGTTCCACAGGAAAAAGGTGAAGGATTTTCTTTTTTTCTCGTCTATCATGTTTATAAACATAACTTTTTGAAATAAGAGCTCTACGCTGGTATCTTAGCAGATTTTTTGAAGCTGAATAATTATCCTCGTAGTGACAGTAGTTACATGGGAACGCTGGGCTTTGCAAAATTACCATTACTGTCATTGTTACATATTTTAAAGGTGATAATGGGCCCTGTTACTGAGTGAAAAATATGTGCTGTATTACACTGTTATCTTGAGCTAACGTACTAAAAATATTCTCAAACATCATTTGAGAGTTTTAACAGAATACATAAAAAAAATAATTTACTTCACTTTTCACCATAACAGCTTGTCACTGGTAATGTTTAACAAATAATCATGTAAATTGTTTCATGTGCAAACTTCAGACTCCTTTAAACTTCATTTTTTTGTAACAAGATGGCTGGAACTCTGACTTTTCTTCTCATTAGTTCTCTGCTGCAGGGTGAGTGAAAGAAAATCAGCATCATGTAAAGATTATTGTGTAAAGATTATTATTTAACATGAAACATGTACTAAACTACAAAGGGTGTCCATTTATTAAATATTTAACAGTAAAAATATTTAGCATTTGTACCTGAATTAAACACTGAAGAACTAGCAGCAGTGATAACTCTGGATAAAGGCTACAATAAATAAAACTGTACTGTTGCTATAAATTACTGTTAGCATTTCTTTTTTACAATTCATTGTGTTGTGTTTCAGGTGCACTGTGTGGAATATTGGAGGTTAAAATGCCAGAGAATATAAATGTTTTGAGAGGATCCTGTGTGACCATCCCCTGCTCCTTTGATGTAGAGAACACGCATGAAAAGAACTTAGATGATTCATGTAAAGCATATTGGAGTGATTCAACTTCATTTAACAGTAAAGATGCAAAACTAAAGCCAACTAAAGAAATGACAGGAGACTTAACAAAGAAAGACTGCACCACAACTTTCAATAATGCAAATCTTCTTCAAAGTACTAAATACTACTTCAGACTGGAGTGTAATAATGGACTGATATGGACTTTTATACAACCTGGTGTAGACATTTCATTCATAGGTAAGTTTTTATATCCATATAACGACAATTCATGTGAATAAATGACACTTGTCAAGCTGCTTTGACTTTGACATCGTGAATTTATTGGATTTTACACAGCAACACCCCCCCCCCGAAATTAATTACTGCTCATTTGTTTATTGACTGATGAAAATATTTCTTCCCACCACAAGATCCTCCTTCACCGACTCTGACTCCATCCACACTGGAGGTGAAGGAAGGAGCCTCAGTGAGTCTGACGTGCTCTGCTCCAGCTCCATGTTGGTCTCATCCTCCAGCTCTGACATGGAGCCCTAACCTGGGTCAGAGTCAGGAGACACTGCAGGAGAATCAGGACAAAACTAAAGTCAAGACTTCTGTTATGAGTTTCACTGCTTCTCACCTCCATCATGGAAATAAAATCTCCTGCACTGCTGTCAACCAGAAACAAGATGGTAGCCCTGATGTCACTGCTGAAACAAGTTTAACTCCTGATATTTCATGTGAGTTTATTTGTTCTCTTCTCAAATGAAATAAATAGTAATAACGTATAAATAGTAGTAGTAATGTATTTAGTAATAAATACAGTTACCTAGATCTGTTATTTATTCTCTCTAAGACTAAAACTACATTTAGTCAGTCACATTTGACAGTTGCTTTTCACTTTACAGTTTTCAGTTTCAGAGTTTCACTTACTATATATATTATCATGTATTTTCCCCAAGTTATGATATTTGTTTTGTGAAGAGACAACCAGTAAAGCAGAATTATTAAAAAAAATATTCAGATAACTGTTATGAGATGTGAGAATGAGGCCCCAGTTCCAGACTCAGGCCACAGAAAATAAATAAAAAAAATCAACCTTTGTTCAGGTGTAGCAGAAAAATCCAAATGGTAGCCAATAAAGTCTTTGAATGCAAACCAGGACAAATGTGAGTGAGAAAATGAATATTCAACAGTTCAATG